TCTCATACTGAAAAAAAAAAAAAATTTTTTTTTTGATGATTACCAGGAACAGGAGGGAGGGGGGGAGAGTCCTTCACTGGCTAGAGGGTAGACACATGCTAGCTTGGGTAATGTTGTTGTTGTTACGAGGTGTGATCAAGTCGGTACTGACTCATAGCAACCCTACGTATAACAGAATAAAACACTGCCCAGTCCTACACCAACCTCATAATCATTGCTACACCTGAACCTATTGCTACTGCCACTGTACCAATTCATCTCACTGTGGGGTCTTCCTCTTTTTCTCTGACCCTCCACTTTACCAAACATGACATTCTTCTCCAGTGACTGTTCCCTCCTGACAATATGTTCAAAGTATGAGAGATGAAGTCTTGCCATGATGGCTTCCAAGGAGCACTCTGGCTGTACTTCTTCCAATACAGATTTATTTGTTCTTTTGGCAGTTCATGGTACTTTCAATATTCTCCTCCAACACCATAACTCAAATGTATCAATTCTTCTGTGGTTTTCTTTATTCACTGTCCAACATGCATATGAGGTTATTGAAAATACCATGGCTAGGGTCAGGTGCACCTTAATCCTCAAATTGACATCTTTGCTCTTCAACAGTTTAAAAAGATCTTGTGCAGCAGATTTGCCCAATACAATATATCATTTGATTTGACTGCTGCTTCCATGAATGTTGATGATTAATCCGAGCAAAATGAAGTCCTTGACAACTTCAATCTTTTCTCCATTGACAAGAATGTTGTTTATTGGTCCAGTGATGAGGATTTTTGTTGCTGTTGTTGTTGTTTTTACATTGAGATGCAATCCTTACTGAAGGCTGTGGTCTTTGATCTTCATCAGTAAATATTTTAAGTCCTCTTTACTTTCAGCAAGCAAGGTTGTATTGTCTGCATATTGCAGGTTGTAAATGAGTCTTCTTCCAATCTTGATGCCATGTTTTTCTTCATATAACTCAGCTTCTCGAATTGCATGCTCAGCATACAGGTTGAATGAGTCACACACCTTTCCTAATTTTAAACCATTCAGTATTTCCTCATTCTGTTCGAACAACTGCCTCTTCGTCTATGTACAGGTTCCTCATGAGCACAATACTCATACTTGGCAAAGTTGTCCATAGCTTGTCATGATCCACACAATCAAAAGCCTTTGCATAGTCAATAAAGCACAGGTAAACATCTTTCTGGTATTCTCTCCTTTCAGCCAAGATCATCAATAATGACATCCTTCATTCCACTTCCTCTTCTGAATCCAGTTTGAACCTCTGAAAGTTCTCTGTCAATATATGGTTGCAGTCATTTCTGTATTGCCTTTAGTAAAACTTTACTCACATGGGATATCAATGATATTGTCTGATGATATCCACATTCCGTTGGGTCAAGTCTCTTTGGAATGGGCACAAATACATATGCTTTTCAATCATTTGGCCAGGTAGTTGTCTTCCAAATTTCTTGGCAATGCTGAAGAGTAGGGTTTGTATATATTTATATATCCCCAAAATATGTAAGAGTTTGAAAGAGGATATTTGTGCATGAGTATTTACCTTTCCTGCAAACACAATTGTGAATGTGGTGGAATATAGAGGTAGCAAAATGATGAAAACTTCCTAGATATTATTGAACATCTAAGGCAATGAGTTAATAGGTCTGGGGGCTCAGGATCATAGTTCAACAGGCACAACACAGTCCACAAAGACAATGTTCTACATCCTGCTTACTTGAGTAGCATCTGGGACCTTGAAAGTTCATGAGAGGCCACCTAAGGTGCAACTATTTGTCTCTCCATGTGCAGAAGAAAGAAGAATGATAAAATTTGAAGAGGCTTGGAATCAATTAGTCCAATGGACTAATGGAACATGTGAACATCAGTCTCCATGACTCTGAGACCAGAAGAACTAGATGGTGCCCAGCTACCACTACCAACTGATCTGAAAGGGATCATGTTAGAAGGTGCCAGATAGAATGGGAGAAAATGTGCAACAAAACTCAAAATTATTTAATTTTTAAAAAGATCAGGTTTACTGGTCAAAAAGAGACTGGAGGAATCTGAAACCATGAACTTCAACCATTCTTTAAGTCTGGAAAGATACTCACCCTTTTGGCCCAATTTTCAATACTAGGAAGGAATTCTCACCATGGAATGGTCAATCATTCAAAATCAAAAGGGCAACATTTTCCTAAGGACAAAGGTGAGAAGGGTTGGGAAAAGTGGGTGATATGCAAATAGGAACCACAGGGAGAAAGCTGGATAACTCTTGTTTCAAGGAGAGGATTGTAATCATTGAGATGAAACAAAGTGTAGATTTGTTGAATGTAAAGCTGATGATCTGGTCTGTAAACCTTCACTCAATTCACAATAAAAAGGTTTTTTTAAAAAAATCTCAAGCCAATTATTTTAAAGTCCAATGTCTGAATTTCCTTAAGGAGCTCTGGTAGCGTAGTGGTTATGAATCCGGCTGTGAACCACAAGGTCAGCAGTTCGAAACTACTAGCTGTTCCACGGGAGAAAGATGAGGCTTTCTGCTCCTGTAAAGATTTACAGCCTCAGAAATCCTATTCAAGGTCGCTATGAGTTGGAACCGACTCCACGGCACATGACAACAACAAAATATTTCTATATGGTCTGTTTTTGTAAAAGTGGTTATTTATTATTGTATTCCAAACATTTGGTATCAAAAGATTATAAAAATTAGTTGAGGCTCTTGGTGATAGCTTCAGAGATGATCTCATTTTGTTTCTGGCATGCAGTAGAAATGGATCACCATAATGCAACTGGGCTGAAGTGAAGCTGGACAATTCCTAATGTCATCCTTATAATCTAGTAAAAAGTCTAGGACAAAAGGTAGTCAACGTATACCATGAGAGTTTGGCAAGGATGGAGTGCTCATGAACTGATTAGATATTATCCTCAGTAATGATAACTTACTGCCAGCTACTAAATACCTGGCATTGAATTATTTTAACCCTATTATCTTAGTTGGAGTCCTGGTGTGGCACTATTGGGTAAGTTCCTTAGAAAAGAACTTTCTAAGGTCGATATGACTCAAACCTGACTTGAGGGCAATTGACAGCAGCAACAACTTAACTTATTAATTATCCTCTCAACAACCCTGTAACTCTTTGCCTTAGAGACAATCTGACTCACTGTGACCCCATGTGTCACTGTGACCCCATGTGTTGCAGAGTAGAACTGTTCCATAGGGTTTTCATGAGTGACCTTTCAGAAGCAAATTATCCAGGTCTAACTTTGAAGGCACCTGTTGGGCGTGTTTGAACAGCTAGCCTTTTCATTATTTGTGCAATACAAGGACTCCTTTAACAACATCATTTGTTGGTGGTGGTGGTGGTGGTGGTGTTGAGTGCCAGTGAGTCAGTTCCAACTCATACATAGCAAACCTATATAAGGTTTCTGAGGAGTGACTGGTGAGTTTGCACTGCCGACCTTGCAGGTCAAACCTACCTTGAAGCCCAGCACATTAACCTGAAACGTCACACCAGGATTCCCAGCGTAGAGATGAGGAAGCCAAGGTTTAGATGTGAACATGACTGGTAAAACTTTTAAACTTACTAAGCACTTCTGAGAAGCTCAAGGCCTCCAGTCCTTTGCAAACCTATTGTCTCCCCTTAAAAAAAAAACAAAACAAACCCCCCTGAGAATTGGAATGGTTTAAGGAAAGATGAATCTGTTTTGTGTGCCATGGAATCCATTCAGGGCAGAGTACAATTCTAGGACAAAGTAGGTCTGCTCCCAGAGAATTTCCAAGGCTGAAATCTTTACTGGAGCAGATCACTGCGTCTTTCCTCCTGCAAAGTAGCTGCTGGGTTTCATCCACAGACCTAAGGCTAGTAGCTGAGCTGTTTTAAGCATTGCACCACCAGGCCACCTTGAAGCACGGGTCTAAGAAGGCCTAGTATCTGGCTGGAGTCTAACACCTTCAGCTACAGGAGCACGGTAATTCACTTCTGAAAATTCAGCCACTGAAAATCCTATGGACACACATGGGATTGTCATAAATCAAAGAACGCCCTTGATATCTATCTGGCTTAATACAGAGATAGATAGGCTTTCCATCCCCTGTTCCACTTGCCACCCCATGCCCTTCATTGGCCCTATTCTGGGAATTGTCCAAAGTGCCCTCCCAGATACACCATCATGGCAGTGGTTGCGTTTTTCTTTCTTGGATTTTAGCAGCCAGAGCATGGGGCATTATCTCCCTCAATAGCATCGCATTGCTGTAGTTAAGTGCTGTGGAGCCGGTCCCAACCCATCACTACCCTGCACAGGATTTCCGAGGCTTTAAATCTTTGCCGGAGTCCTGGTGTGGCGCTACAAGATAAGGCACTGGATCGCAAAGTCAGTTTGAACAGCTAGTTTGGTGGTTCAAACCCAGAAGCCGCTCCTCGGAAACCCTATACTGGTTCTCGATGGGTCGGAACCGACTCGATGGAACTTAACAACAAATCTTAATCAGAGCAGAAAGACTCATCTTTCTCTCCCGGAGCGGCTCTAACCGTAGACCTTATGGTTCGAAGTCCAGTGCTTCTCGTATGAAGTCACCGCGCTCCCACCGCTGCTGTTAAGTGCTGTCGAGGCGGTTCTGACTCATAGCGGAAACCTACATAGGGTTTCAAGGGAGCAGCTGGTGGGTTTGAACGGCCGACCTTGAGGTCCAATCCGACTTTACAGTCCGGCGCATAAATCCGCAGCGCCAAAGCATTGCCGGTGACCAATTTCCAAAGGCTTCTGCCCACCTTCTAGCCAAGAACTCCTACAGTGGCAGGTTCAGCGACGTCTCTTTCACCGGCCCAGTAGCAGAGTTTACAAGCCCTTTAATGTGCCGCCTCAGAGGTAACAGTGCCAGTCCCAGTGGTGCTTCCGGGAGAGCCCGGATTTGTTGCGCCGGCGCACTAGGTGCCTGCTTTGACCGTTGAGCCCCACGCTCCTCAGTTCCTTTGGCAACGCAGTACACAAGTGCTAGCCCCAGAGGCGCGCGCATGTTGTGCTTCAACGAGGCGGGTGAGGCGGTGGAGGAGTCTTGGGGAGAGGGTAGTGGGAAAGACAAGGCAGGGAGGCTGGAAAAGACCAAGGGGAAGCAAATGTCGTTCGTCCTTTATGGAGTTGGTTCTGGTTTTCGTTAATAGCTGGGTCTGCCCTCAGCTGGGCATCCCACACTCACCATCTGCCCAAAGCGCTCACTGACCCAGGTACCTTGCCTCACGTGGAGTTTCTCCTCTCTCTTGATCTTCAGAGACGCTGTTTAACTATTGTTTTGGAACATGTCAACAGAGGAAAATCTTTCCTCACTACATTCCCCCAGACTTACTCGGAAACAAGTTTCTCCCTCTGAGGGGATCTCCCCTGAGAGGGCCTGGATGTTATTTGACAGAAGACGTAAGTATTCACTTCCCTTTAAGCACATCTCAGTTTCATAGAAAAACTCTATGAGATTTGTGATCTTCAGTGTTTCCAACATGAGAAGGTGCCCTGGACTCCTACAGCCAGTTGTCTGGGCCAATGCCAGAGTCAGTGACCACTGTACCCCACTTCCTGCCCCACCAAATGTAAACCTTTGCCTCATATATTGTTGTTGTCAAATGTCATTGAGTCAGTTTGAACTTATATCAACCCTGTATGGTGTTTCTGAGGAGGGACTGGTGAGTTTGAACTGCAGACCTTACAGTTCACACCGACCTTGCAGTCCAGTGCTTACCCTACAGCCACACCAGTATAATTGCCACCTCATTCACACCTCCAATTAACAGTGAGCCATGGAGTCCTGGTGTGGCACTGTGGGTTAATGTGCTGGACTGCAAAGTTGTTTGAACTGCAAGATCGGCAGTTCAAGCTCACTAGCTGCTCCTTGGAAACTCTATACAGGGTCGCTATGAGTCGAAATCAACTCAATGGCAATTCACAACAACAGTGCCCATTACCTTCTTATTAGCCCAAACCTGGGTTGTTGGTAAACAGGGAGGGAGGCATATGAAACAGCAATATAGTCTGGTTGACAGTTGTGTTAGAGCACACTAGGTTTTTTGGAGCGCAGAGAACAGGATTCATTGGAATGCATAGTAATGTTATTTTCTCGAATCTACCCAGCCTTATTCTTTGGCAAAGTCATTTGTTACTTATCTGGTGTGATGCTAGTGTATGGACCTCGAAGGTGTCAAGACAGGGAAGAAAGATCAATCTTTTGCAGAGATGGTTCAAATAGGAGAATTCCAATTCCACTAACCCATGGCTTTAATGTATTCAGATCATTTTTTTTAATTATTGTTATTATTAATTTGCTTATTTTTATATATTCCACCTGAAGAAATATGGCTTGGCATACAACCTCACTAAGATCCCAACCAGTAAGAAAGGATACACTTTTGGAGCCAGAACAAGCTTGAGGTTTCAACCAATTAATAAGGTTAGAAATTACTGAGCATGCGAAGATCTGGGTGTGATCCATGTTACCTGCATTTGTAATGGAAAGCAAAGGGCAGAGAGGGGGGAGGTTACCTAAGAAAATATGTCCTGAAATTCAAGAAAGGTAGGCATTTAGGCAAAAGCTATTAAGTAAGGAGCCTACCTGAAGTGTTTAGACATTCACTTTGCAAATGTGTGTCTGAGTATCCAGAGAGAGTGGAAAATAATTCGTGGGAAGAAATCATCCCCAAACAGGTCTTTAGTACTGAGATAAAATACTGGGGTTAAAATACTAGAAGCTCTGTTTATTATATACATTGAACTATCTTGTCAGAAAACAAAATCCAACATATTTACCCATTTGTGTGAATGAATCTCCAGCCTGAAGATAATCATTATAGGATCCTAAAGGGCTGTAGGTGGTGTAAACAGTTTATACTCAACTAGTAACCTAAAGGTTAGCAATTGTAACCCACCCAACAGTGCCACAGAACAAAGCTCTGATCATCTGTTTTCATAAAGATTACAACCAAGAAAGCCTTTTGGGGGCAGTTCCACTCTATAGCTCATGGGGTTGCATCTATGGGACAATTTCCTGATACTTTGTACTCAAAAAGTGGGGTTATAAGAGTGCTGGCTCTAAAAAAAATCCCTAAGTGGATCACTGGGGCTGCAACTCCCACACCTGAAGTGGCTGCAAGTAGTTACCTGTCCACCCAGGACTTTGTTCTACATCCTAAGCATTATATGGGAGCACTATGGTTATGTAGAATATACACTGGACTGTTAACCACAAGGTCAGCACTTCAAGTCTTCCAGCCACTCCAAGGAAGAAAGATGAGATTTTCTGTTCCAATAAAGAGTTGCAGCCTCTGGAACCTTATACAGAGAATTTATGAGTTAGAATCAACTCAAAGGCACAATAACAATAAACATTATATATCTTTAGATAGCTGAACCATACCTTGATTTTTCTACTTGATTGTAGGCCTATTTCTTTCTATAACTTGAGGTGGCTGAACCATAGTTGATTCATGAACAGGAAGAGAATGACTCAGATTTTTCCATCTAGCAGAATATGTATGTATGTGTGTGTGTGTATTTATATCTATATCTATATCTATATCTATATATATCACCTTATAACATGATGTTGATCTTTTTCTTGGAAACAGGATGCAACACATTACCCAGGCATGTACCAAACAGTACATTCTCCAGAGGAAAAACACAAACAATCTTTTGCTCCATTTAATGTCAAGTTACCTCGAGATAGGAAGACCATTTTAGAAAAGGACTTTTATCCTGGGTATGTCTCCTATTTCCTGGTGCACTTAGACAAAAAAAGAGTAAGAAAAGAAGCACATAGAAGGGATTACATATATATCCAAACCATCCCAGCTAAATAAGAAAAAACCCTATCTTTAAAGATTTACCCTCTTGGCCTCCCAGGTCTCTGCCATTGTAGAATTAATAGAATCATAGCCATTCATTCAATAAGTATTTATTAAAGTAGGTTCCAGAAATTTAGCAGTAAACCCATTATACAGAGTTCCTGATTTCTTGGAGTTTACATTCTAGAGATTAGAATGTAATATGTGAAACAAATAAGCAAAAAAATTTCAATGGTAATAAGGAGAATGGCCATAGAATTTATTAGCCAAACTAGGACAGTTCTGAGAATGAAAGAGAGCCTTGTTAGCAATTATGCCAGGGCAGTAAGTGCATGCTAGGAACTGCCAGTGGACAAACCAGGAAGTATGAGGACCTGGTGTGATTAGCTATGAAGACAATGAAACAGGATGATGATATGATAGAAAGTAGGGTGGAGGCTACTTTAGTCAAGATTGTCAACAAAGGCCTCTAAGGAAATAGCATTTGATCTGAGACCTGAATAACAAGAATGAGTCAACTCTATGAAGATCTGGGAACAGAGTTTTCCAAGCAAATGGGAACAACAGGTGAAAGGCAATGAGATGGGAAGGAATTTGGTGTGAAGAAAAAAAGAGAAGGTAAGTATGGCTAAAGTATACTGAACAAGAAGGTAGTGAGATCAGAGAAGGGGGCCAAGGATAAATTACGTAGGCTTTGCAGACCAAGGTGTTTCATCTAAAAGCTTTAGGAAACCACTGAAGATTTGTGGATGTAGGATCAAGGTCTGTCTTTTACTGAAGAGAAAGCTGAGGATCCATGTGAGATTGCAGCTTTCTAAAGGTTACATTAAGGTAGTGGTAGCATTGAATCTTGACCTCCACATCTGCTCTTTCCTCCCCACTACAGAGTTTTCACTAAATGCTTTATGAACAAAGACATTTTAAAAATAACCCCATCATCAAGAAAATGTAACTGGTTCTGCGTTGTTGTCCCTGGAGTAACCTTTTTATTGCTGATAGATTAAAAGATTGCAGCACTTTTATCCCCAATTTCAATTCATGGACAGTACTTAATTCATCATCTGTCACTTCTGGGATATTCTGGTCTCTTAGCTAAGGATATTGAGTTGCAGAAATATTTTTAAACTAGGGTTACTCTGTACCCTAGCTGAATGTCAAGATGCTTTTTTTTTTTCACTTTAGCAAACAGACATTCATTCTCTCACAACTCAAGAGACTAGAAGTTTGAATTCAGGGTTCCAGCTCTGGGTTTTTTCTCTGTGTTGACTCTGGGAGGAGGTCCTTTTCTCCTTTCAGCATATGTGGACCAGGTGTTCCTTGGAGATCTCCATGTGTCTTGGCATTCGTTTTTCCTGGAAGACTGGGTATCCTTAACAGCTAGTTAGAAATATACTAACAGGCTAAGGAACCTATTTGTACAACATAAGAAAGCTTATCAAAAGGGGTTAGGATTCAGGAATACTATGGTAATGGTGGTGGTGGTAATGTGCCATGGAGTCAGTTCCGACTCATAGAGACCCTGTACAAGGTTTCTGAAGCTGTAAATCTTTATGGGAGTAGAAAGCCTCCTCTTTCTCCCACGGAACAGCTGGTAGTTTCGAACTGCTGACCCTGAGGTAAGCAGCCCAACTCGTAACCACTATACTACCAGAATGGAATTGGTATATGGACATTAACTCATTAGACATGGTGTTTTGTATTTTTATTTCTAGTCCTGGCACATACAACCCAGAGATCAGGCCACCCCCAAAAGTTGCTTGGCCAATGAAATTTGGATCTCCAGACTGGGCTAAGGTTCCATGTCTACAGAAAAGAACTCTAAAAGCAGAGGTAATAAGACTGGGCATCACGGTTCAATGTCCTGCGGTTCAATATTAAAATTCCATGCTAGAAATCCAGGTTCAATTCCCAGTGAATATACTTCCAGTGCAGCCACCATTTTTCTGTCAGTGAGAGGTTGTAGGTTTCTGGGACGGTGAACAGATTTCAAGGGAGCTTCAAGACTAAGACTGACTAGACAAAAAGGCCTGATAATCTAATTGCAAAACACCAACTAATATAATGCTCATGGATCACAATAAGTTGTACATGGGATCCCCATGAGTCGGGCCGCTAACAACAACAGAGCATTTTTTCTTGTGTTTTAACATATATTAAGGGTTCCCACCCAGAAATCTGTTGATGAGCTCTAACGAGTTGTCTTTCAATCCTTTTCTGTAATATCCTTAGAGCATTAGATCATGAAAGAGCTGTAAAGCATTCTAGATAAGACAATGGATACTGGAGAGAAACTCTCTGCTTTTACTTATTCCAGTATTAACTTTCTTTGTAGTCTTAAGCGAGTCCCTTAATTTTTTAAAGCCTTCAGTTTCTTATCTGAAGAAAATGGGTAGAATGCAGTTTACCTGATAAAATTATGGCGATAATGAAGATTTTAACACTGTACCTTATGACATATGTGCTCAATCCATCCTTCTTGTTGTCATTAAGTGCCTTCTTCAAGTTGGTTCTGACTCATAGTAACCCTGTATAGAGTTTCTGAGGAGAAGCTGGTGGTTTTGAACTGTCCACCTTGTGATTAGCATGTTAGCTGAGGTGACAGGAAAGGCAATGTACAAGAGGGTGGTTGGCAGAAGAATGGTAAAGACACAGAAGTATGCAAGGGTTGTAGGGGATATAGGCAAAAAGTGTTAGATACACAATCTAGGAACTGTGAATAGATACACGGACAGATACACAGGTTGAATGGGTATGGGAGGAAGAGTAGGAGTATACCCACAAATATAGGGTTTGAACGAGGATATTTGTACATGAATATTTACCTTTGCTGTAAACACCCCTATGAATGTGGTGTGGTACAGGATGCAGTGAGCAAAATGATGAAAACTTCTTAGATATTTTCAAATGTTTTAAGACAATGAGTTGCTGGGCCTGGGGGCTCAGGACCATAGTCTTAAGGATCACTGTGGTCAGTTGACATGACATAGTCCACAAAGACGGTGTTTTACATCTTACTTTGGTGAGTAGCATCTGAGATCTTAAAAGTTTATAAGTGGCCATCTAAAGTGCAACCATTGATCTCTCCATGTGCAGAAGAAAGAAGAATAATGAAAACTGAAGAGGCTTGGAATCAATTAGTCCAATGGACTAATGGAACATGTGAACACCAGTCTCCACAACTCTGAGACCAGAAGCATTTGGTGGTACCCAGCTACCACTATCAATTGCTCTGAAAGGGATCACATTAGAAGTTCCAGGATAGAATGGGAGAAACTGTGGAATGAAACTCAAAATTATTTAAAAACAAAAACAGGGCTTACTGGTCAAAAAGAGACAAGAAGAACTCAAGACTATGGCTCTTGGCTACCCTTCAGGTCTGGAAAGGAACTCACTTTTGTGACCCAATTTTTACCCAAGCAGAGTACTGGTGTGACACTGTAGGATAGGCACTGGACTGCTAACCACAAGGTCTGGGGTTCAAAGTCATCAGCTGCTTCTCAGAAACTCTATACAGGGTGACTACGAGTCAGAACCAACTTGATGACACTTAACAACAAGTGTATAAAGGGGCCAACAACACTAGTAAAGCCTGCTCACCGTAGAATAATCAATCATTCAAGATCAAAAGGGCAGAATTTATTTATCTAAGGACAAAGTTGAGAAGGGATGGGAAGGTGCGGGGAATGCAAATAGGAGCCACAAGGATTGGAATAACTTGGAATGCATGGAGGGGATTGCAATCATTGAGATGAAACAAAGTGTATGATTTGTTGAATATAAAATGATGATCTTGTCTGTAAATCTTCCCTCAATTCACAATAAAAAAATTTTTTTTTAAAGAAAGAATCATGCCATCTATTTGGAGAAATAATTTATATACAGAATAAGCAAATAATTCCTAGCCTGATGTAAACCAAAGTGATATGATAATGGGTGAATGTACATACATAAACTGAGAGAATCATTAAGGCTAGATTCCATGGCCCCCAAAGTGGTGCAAATAGTTAGCAACTGAGCATGAAAGTTTGTTAGTTCAAGCCCACCCAGAGTCACCTCAGAAAGAGACCTGGCTGTCCACTTTTGAAAAATCAACCACTGAAAACTTTGTAGAGCACAGTTCTACTCTGACACACATGAGGTTTCGTTAGTTGGAGGCAACTCAATGGCATCTAGTATAGCTGGTAGGTTACTGTGGGTTGAAGTTCAGTTGGGTCTCACAGCTATAATGTACAGCCAGGAGAATCAGAGGGGGAAGATTTTTGTTAGAATATTGAGATTAACAATGTTCTTTTATTTCAGCTGTCCACAGACAAAGACTTTAGAAAACATCGGAACCGTGTGGCCTACCTAAGTCTATATTATGATTGAGAGGTGGTAACTACATTCACGGACTTCCTTCTGATCATAGAATTTACAGGATTGATGACAGAGCCACTCTTCTCTCTCTGTATCACTGTGGCCATATTGCCTGCCAATATGGGGCCCAGGGAGGGAAAGGGACTTATCACTATTTAAGAGCATTAAAACTAGTTCAGGGTGTTCAACCTTCATGTATTCATTTGTGTTGTGTACATAGTATTTGGGTCCCAGAGTTCACATTGGGTGTTCAGTGGGTGACTTCATTTGAGTGAAATACTGGTGGGTCCTGCCGTGTAACTCCAATTCACAGGTACCAATTTTATATATTTTATCTCTAGACCTGGCAAGAGAATACCATTTGCCTATATGATGGTAAGTCAAAAGTATTACCACAAAATTATACCTTTATTTAATAAAAGTATCAAAAATTGAAGGTATTGTTTCTAGACATATTCTCCATCTGTTGCTGTTGTTAAGAGTGAGTGGTTAAGTAGGTTCTGCATCACAGCAACCCTGTACAGGGTTTCTGAGAAGACTTACCAGTTTGAACCACTAAACTGTGGTTCACAGTCCAGTGCTTATCCTACAATGCCACCCCAGGAGTTCATTCTCCACCTAGATCTACGAATTTTGGAGACAACATTTCCAACTCTCTAAACCTTCCCCGGTGATGCTGTAGGATAAACACTGGACTGCTAACCACAAGGTCAGTTGTCCAAACCCACCAGTCTCTCCTAGGAAACCATATACATATACAAGTTGTAACTGACTGGATGGCACTTAATAACAAAAACAACAACAACCCTTCCCCAGAGAATTCTGTAACCTTCAAGTTGTACCACATTAAAATATCAATTTTGGCATCCTCCAAGAATTTAAATTATGTTCTTTTTAAATGTTCTTTAAGTTTGGGAAGCAGAAGTTTAAAGGGGGCAAAATCAGGGCTATAGGGTGACTGGGGTAAGGTTCCCCAACAAAAAGTCTATTACACGACAGCTCTTGCTTCAATCAAAGAATGAGCAGGTACATTGTCGTGATGGTAAAAATGGCTCAGTGCAAGTTTCCAGGACTTTTATTCACTTACGCAGTTGTCAGTTTTCTTAAAACTTCTTCTTAAGTCCTGGCAATTATTTTGTGTCCTTGGAGAAAATCTATCAAGATTACTCCTTTGGAATCAAAATAAAATTTAAAAAGAAAAAAAGAAACAGTCACCATAACCCTCTGAGCTGACCTCTCTGTCTTGAATGTAACTGGTACAGCAGATAGATCCTCTCATAAGTCACTCTTTTGATTGGATCTTTTATGAAAGACCCTGAACAAGACTAAGACAAGTGTGTCATTGAGAAAACATGACATCAGAGACATATTTAAATATGTTTTGTTTGGAATAAAACTGTGCACGTAGGAACTGGAAACCTAGTTGCAATGCTTTTTTACTAAGTCTCATACCTCACAAGAGTTTCAGTGGATTTGGCCTTACCTAGGCTTGCTCCTGGTGTGGTACTGTGAGCTAATGCATCAGACTGCAAAGGCATTTGAACTGCAAGGTCGGTGGTTCAAGTTCACCAGCTGCTTCTTGGAAACAAGGTCCCTATTGGTCGGAATCGACTCGGCGGCAGCAAACAGTAGGCTTGCTTTTGGACTTGCTAGACACCGAGGTGAATTAAATACAGTGTAAGGAGCTCTTCCAAGTTTCTGAGTCCTAGTTTGGTTGCTTTTCCAAGCTTAATGTAAAACTCACCAAACCAAAACTTTCCCCCTTTCCCATTACATCATCTATTAAATATCAGTTGACGTACATGATGGGGCTTTAAAAAGTTTGTGGAAAGATGAAATTAAAAGATAATACAAGTTTTCTTTGATCTTTTTGAAGCCCTTTCATTTTTATTGCATTCCTACTATGTGTCAGGCAGGAAATTAAGAACTAGAAATACAGCAGTAATCCAAACAAATTCATACTACCCTTCAGCCTGCAGTCTGAGAACCCACCCCACCCCCAAACTAGCTAATGGTTTGGATTTGCCTCTCCACAAGTGTCTGGAGGTGTGAAGGTAAGAACTCATTGCAACCACATTGCCCAGATACTCTGACCTGAGCCCCTTTCCTGCCCACACTAACTGAAGTCAGTGTAGTTCCTTCTACACTATGTATGGTCTGATTTATTTTTTAATGGGAAGGTCTTTTAGTGTTCACTTAGGCTTCTTTGTTGTTGTTGTTAAGTGCCGTCGAGTCAGTTCCGACCCATAGCGACCCTGTACACGGTTTCCAAGGGTGTAAATCCTTACGGGAGTAGAAAGCCTCATCTTTCTCCTGCGGAGCGGCTGGTAGTTTCGAACCGCTGACCTTAAGGTTCGCAACCCGATTCGTAACCACTACGCTACCAAAGCTCCTTAGTAATTATCAAAAAGGTAGTAACTCTGCATGTGTCTACATTCCAAAGAGTGAGAAGCTGCCAGTGGATGCAAAAAAAAGCGTTGTGCTTTTCCATACCTGGTTGATAATGTGTAGCTCTAGCAGCTGCAGTGACTAAAACAGTTGGTTGATAACTGTAAGGACAGAGGTTTGAACCCACCCCGTGCTATTTGAAAGAAAGATGTGGCCGTATGTCTCTGTAAAGATTGCAGTCTTGAAAATTCTATAGGGCATTTCTACTCTGTCCTATAGGATCTCCATGAGTTGGAATCAACTCAATGGCAATGTGGTTGGCTTGATTTTTGGTGGTTCTAGCCTATTTTAGGAGTCCTGACATGGAACTGTGGGTTAATGCGCTGGGCTGCAAAGTCTATTTGAACTGCAAGGTCAGTTCTCTTAGGACTAATTCATGGTAAGTGTGAGCTGGAAAAAGGGTAAGAGATGAAACCTGGATTTATGGTGCTGTGGGACTTATATCTTAAGGGTCAAGTCTTCAGAATAATTAAATAGTGAAAGGTGAGCAAGTCTCTACTGGAAAATCAAAATGGAATACTTAGATAATGATGAAGATACTTCAGGCTAAAACCTTTACCTAACATATCCTGTCCAGTTGCCACCAAGTCACTTATGGTTTCCCCATGTGTGTCAGAGTAGAGCTGTGCTCCATGGAGTTTCAGTGACTGATAATTTGGAAGTAATCACCAGACTTTTCTCCCAAGGCATCTCTGGGTTGACTTGAACCTCCAACCTTTTGGTTATCAGCCAAGCACATTAATCAATTGAACCACTCAGGGATTACTAATATATAGGTATTTTTTACTCTGATGATTTCTACTATCTTGCCAGGAAGTGTTTACAACTTAAGCTAAGTCCAGTTTAATTTAGCATTTCCTACAAACACATTCTACTTTTCTGGATCCATAGTGTATGCATGTGTCTCTGTGTGTGTGCATATGCATGTGTGCATACACATGCAGGTTTTTTCAAAAGGAATGTGATAACTTAGCACTGATTATTTTTTTCTGGTGAAGAACATCATGCTTGGTAAAGTGAAAGGTCAGCAAAAAAGAGGAAGGCCCCAACAGATGGACTGACAAATGTAACAACAATTGTGAGGATGGCTCAGGACTGGGCAGTATTTCCTTCTGTTGTGCATAGGGTCACTATGAGTCAGAACCAACCTAACAACAATAACATTTTTTCTGACTTGGGATTTTGGGATCCTTCTTTGGACGTTATTGATGGGTGATAGACCATCCTTTACTCTGGTATTTGGTACATCCACTCAAGTCCTTTCCCAGGAAAGGGAATTATAGTTTCCAAAATAGTACTCTGATTTGATTTTTTAAATTTTAATATGTCGTCTGTTAACCTTCAGAGTTCTTGAAAATGCTAAAGTCTTTATACACTCACTTAAGAAAGTATGAATGATTAAAAAAAAAAAAAACCAACAAAGCATGCTGTATCATATTTACTTTGCACTGGGATTTGGTTCAAGAGGTTTGCAGTTTTTTAGACTTTACCAGAATAAAATCTTATCATATTTTAGTAGGGCATGGATTCTCAAATGCCAGATTGATATAATACATAGACTGTGACACAACTGGAGGATGTAGTTTAACATGCAACACAAGAGAGTCTGTAACAAAGTGGATTTTTACCACAATTTTCATTTAAGGCCAATTGCAACACTTGCAGTTATCATCAAAGACCAACCCTTGAGCACAATGAAGGTGGAAGGTCTTGCCACCAGCACACTGGTAGAACTTGGTGTTGTCTTCAGGATCACTATAGGTGCCATCTGCTTTGCCAGTGCAGAAACTGCCATCTCCTCCACTGCCTCCATCACCACCCACTTCGCCTCCACTTCCCCCATCACCACCACCTCCACCCCCACTGCCGCCACCTCCACCAATGTTGGCACAGAAGCCTTCACTTCTTAAGGTCACAGGTTGGTTATACCAGATCTTCGTGGCTGGTGGGGTACATTCTAAAGGAATAAAATGAGCATTTCAGAACATTCAACATAAACTATTTAGAGAGAGAAAGAGAAAGAGAAGCACTTAGTTTATAGATATTCCCCTATATCAATTCTGTTCTCAACTGGAGCCCTGAAAGAAATCCAAGCCATAGCTGGTAAGAATGCTACAAAGAGACAAAAGTTCAAAGTAACAGGTGGGAAGTGGGGGACCAAGATCACTGAAGTCCTAGTAACATGGCAGCCTTGAGTTCTCTTCTAGTTCTACCCTAGGGAGAAAGGACACAATCCTGCAGTGATAAAGCAAAGGACTACATTTCTAGTCATATATATTTGATTGGGGGGGAGGGGTGTTACCTTGTTATGCTTTAGTTCTTAAACTGTGTTTTTACTTGTTCATTTTCAACATTGTTTGATTACTTATTATTTATTCCTCTGATGATTCAGAAGTTTTATATATATTTGGTGGAGGAGGTAGGGTGAGTAGGAGAGAGGGCTAGGCCTAGGACTTGGTTTACTGTTAGAGTTATGGTTAGGACTAGGGTGACTGTTATAGGTAAGGGTTGGGCTAGGGCTAGGAGAAACATTTGGTCTAGTTTTTAGGGTTACTGTTGCGGACCGTATAAGACTGGTCAGAGGTTCGAGGCCCTATAGGCCCTAGTGTAACAAATGAGGCCACTGGCAGTTAATGGCAAATTGCTTTCATCTTAATATTCAGTTATATATATTAAATTAATACA